CACATAGTCGAGCAAGCACGCGTTGCATCCTAGTTGCTTGATTTGTCTCATCCCAAGAAGTATCAATCCTTGCAGTAGTGTCGAGTACTCTCCCACACCAGGCGATATCACCGGCGATGAAATACCTCCAGCCGACTCATTGAGATCCTTGAGCGAAGGAATGTACTCGGCTAGACGTGAGTGACTGTTGTACAGCACAACCGTACCCACCAGTGCACCATCCTCCGGCCGCTTTGCCCGAATAATTCCACAAGCCGTCGGATCGGTGAGCGCAAGCTTGTACACCTCTGCCAGCCCTTGTCGGTTGCTCGTTTTGATATGGTCGAGTACCGGTCCGGCGTAGTCCCATCCATAGACAAGGTCAAACTGAGCTCCTGCGCTTGCCAGACTCTTGGCCATGCCTGCAGGTGGACTCCACGTCTGAAGATTACGAGCGACCATGTTGCATACTGGCCGTGACAGTGCTGCGCCCCATCCCAGTTGTGCAAACCATGGTCGCAGGCGCTTTCGCTCATTGCCATGTCCTGTTGGGATACCGAGATAGATACTCGGAAGACGAGATCCCAGCTGAAATCTCTTAATGCCTTCCTTCTGTAGCAGAGTCCGTATCGCTCTGTTATGCAGCGAATGTCCAATCGAGAGCTTCCTCCTTGCTGGATCTACAAACAATGCACCAATGACTCCAGTTCCCGTGGCTTTGAAAAAGTATGTTGAGCAGAATCCGTATAGTGCTTGGGTACTGCTGTTTCGGACGACAAAATGCGATTCCTCCACCTCTGGGTGGTGTAGAATGAACGAGCTTGATGTTGCGCTTGAAAGCTCAGATCGTTGGTTTGGCGTGGTACTCTCCACAACGGCTGCCATCAGTGTATCCAACGCACTGCCGTCTCGTTCTTCATTGAAGATCTCAACCAGCCAATGCTGTTTCGATGGATGTAGTTTTTGGCTCTTGCTGATTGTACCAGGCAGTGTTCCGGAGGGTGATAGTTCTCCATACAAGACTCGTACTAACGAGTTTAACGCAGTCTCGGTGAAATCATAGGTACAGATATACGTCCCAATTGTGTTATCCATGGCAAAGTCGTATGGTGAACTTACAGCAACCACAATCAGAGGCTTCTCACGTCTCTCTCCGCCAGTCGTGTATTGCATGTTGCAAATCATAGACACGTGTTTAGTAAATCCATGCTGGTACAAATTTCTATTGGCGTCTGCAGTGAGCACAATGATCGCGCTTGCTCGGCTGATGAGATTCTCGTGAACTGGACGAACACCGTTTGCTGTGTACGACGTGTGCAACAGTCGCCCGTTACGTTGTCTCGCCAGAGAGCGGCCCAGCTCCCTGAAAACTCGTTCTCCGCTCATAACAGACGAATTTTGGTCCCAGGAAGCTGGCCCTGGAGAGTGGCTGGCCGCGCCATTGGCGGCATCAGATATGGCTCGCGATGCAGCCGATGCAGCCAAGGGCTTGACCAAAGGTGTCAGCAGGAGGAGTTCCTCTTCGCTGTCGAGAATATTGGTCAGTGGAAGAAGCCTATTCTTGTCGCGCACGACTGTGATGGAGCTATTGTATGCTTTGGTGGACAGCGCAGTATGCAAAGGCTGGAGCTTTTCGAGATAGTTGATACCTGGAGGGTTCAACGCCTTCTCCCATGACGTGCACTTCTTTTTCATGGCTAGCACACGCCTCAGCGAATTGAAGATGCGTTCTTTCGAAACCATCTCGCTCTCAATGCCAGTCTTGAGGCCTTTTAGACCTTCTAGTTGTAGTGAGAGGGCACGGCAAAGAAGGACCACGTCGCAACCGGCGTTGACAGCCATGACGGTTCCACCGCCAACACCGATATTGTGACTGAGAGCATCCATCTCAAGACATTCTGAGACAACTACGCCGTCGAATTTCAGATCCTTGCGGAGTAAATCATCGACGACCTGCTCAGAGAGACAAGCGTGCATAGCATTCAGTCCGGCCGAAGACATGGCGCAGCCACCGACCATCATAGAGTCAAGGCCTCTTTCAATCGCCTTCTTGAACGGGATCAAGGCACTCAAGCTCAGCTGCTCTAATGATTCAGTGATGATGGGCACGTCAAGCGTGGAGCCTAAGAACTCTAGGTTGCCATAAGATGGAAAATGCTTTCCCAGTGTTACGACTCCGCCCTCTTTGTAGCCCTGCATGAACGCACACCCAAAGGCGGACACTTCCTGAGGGTCGTCTCCGGCTGTTCTGACGCCCAAGGGCTGGTTACGTGCATTAGTGAGTACATCGAGACATGGGCCGAATATCCAGTTGATACCACAGGCGGCAATTTCTTGTGCAGTTGCTTTTGCGACTTCAAATGCTAGGTCAGTGGATCCGGTGGCTGCCATGCCCATGTTGCTGGGGTACTGGCGAATGTAGATGTCGTCAAAGAGACTGTTGACTCCGCCATTTTCCTGGTCGATACCAATCGCCAGCGGAACAGGATGACCGGCATCATGGGCAATCTTTTGCAATTCAAAAATGAGCTTTGTTGTGTCCTCGGCGGCTGTGTTGTATCAGCAGGAGCTTGGCACGCAGAGAGAGGTCACATCAAAGCACGTGATATTACATTTGAGGTTTTTGGCAGTCAGCAGGATGCAGCCAACGTGATGCTCCTCGATAAGGGTACGAATGTGGGGAGTCACCGACGTGCCATCGAAGCCCATCATGAACAACTGGCCCTGCATGGCCCCAAGTCAGTGAGTGCGGCCGCAACGGTTGCGTGGAAACAGCCTACCATTGTTCTGCATGGTGAACAGTGGTTAGCAAGGGTCCTTGGGTGCGTAGCGCATGTCGAGAGTGAGAGCGTGCCACGATGCTCACCTGTCGAGATCATCCCACACAGGATCCATCTGCTCAATCTTGGCCATGATGGCAATATCCGGCGCGTCGCGTCGGACTGTGGATGTGACGTGGGATTCCGCGGCGCACCGGCTCTTGGGCGCGGCTGGCAAATGGAGTTTCGGTCGGTCGGTGGACAGAAAGATGGGGAAGATGGCACCGTAGCATTCACGTCGACGTGAGCTGGGGTAAGTAGTTAGCGAGCCGCTAGCCACACGCCCTGGCGCATCGTTACACCACCCTGGTCCCTCTGTTATCAACGACATGCACCTCCGATGGCACCTCACACAACCCCGTAGTCCTTCCGAAACTATCATGGTAAGACCGACCAGGCTGGTGTAGTCATCGCAGCGTTCCTTCGCTCCGTGTACCCACTCAGCGTGTGCAAACGGGCAGCGTGCGCTTCACATGCGTCCATGTAGGCTTTTCCCAAGGGCAACTTAGCCCGCTGTTGATGGACTAATGGCGTCACTGGCAAGCAAGTGCTCGCGATAAAGTAGCAATAGGGCCGCCATTTTCTTTGTGAAGGGTGTTGAGCTCGCTCAACCGCACACAACTAACCAATCCTTTAATCTTTGCTCCATTTTTTCACTCGCCATGCCTTCCATCGCCCCCATGCCCTCTGCTTCTGCAGATCTACATGAATCCTCTGGCGTCATCAAGTTCACCAACTGCTTGCTGGTCAGAGGTAATGCTCTCGTCGATGGAGACCTTTGGGTCAGCTCTACGAGCGGAAAGATCATAAATGGGCAGGAGCTGCTTTACGAACATCGAACTGCACCAGACGAGATTGTCGACCTGGGTGGCCGTATCCTTTGCCCCGGCCTGATCGATACACAACTCAACGGAGCATATGGCTTTGACTTCTCCGTCATACCAGATGAGGGAACAGTGGCGTACGGAAAGGGAGTGCTACAAGTCAACCGAAGACTGGTATCGACGGGTGTCACATCATACCTGCCCACACTGACTTCACAACCACCCGAGGTTTACCAAACAGCTCTACCGTTCCTGGGTCCATCTGGTGCTGCGCGCGATGCATCCCTTGGCTCAGAGTCGCTCGGCGCCCACTGCGAAGGGCCCTTTCTTAACCCGACTAAAAACGGCATCCACAACGCATCCCTCCTCTGCGAGCCCGAGAAGGGCATGTCTGACATGGAGACATGCTATGGCCCTAGTCATCTGCAATCGTCCTCATCTGTCAAACTTATAACGCTTGCGCCAGAACTTCGAGGCGCCTTGTCGTGCGTACAACCACTGGCAGAGCGCGGCATCGTCGTGTCTATTGGGCATTCGGAAGCGACGTACGAAGAAGCAAAGGCGGGCATCAGGGCAGGTGCAAGCATGATAACACACCTGTTCAACGCCATGCAGCCCTTGCACCACAGGAACCCGGGAATCTTCGGTCTTCTGGGCACGCCATCTTCTTCGATACAGAAGCCATACTTTGGCATCATCGCCGACGGCATCCATCTCCACCCCACGTCTATCAAAATTGCGTGGAACGCACACCCCGAAGGCCTCATACTCGTCACTGATGCTATGCGGCTAGCGGGCATGCCGGACGGGACATATGACTGGACAAACGGGTCGCGTATCATCAAACAAGGGTCTATGCTTACGCTCGAGGAGAATGGAAAGATTGCGGGAAGCAGCATTCAGCTCATAGACTGTGTTACGAACTTTATCAACTGGACAGGGGCCAGTGTACCAGAGGCACTGAAAGCTGTCACCGAGACACCGGCAAGGATGTTGGGCGTGCAGGATGTGAAAGGGACGCTTAACGAAGGTTCTGATGCAGATCTGGTAGTTTTAGATCTTCAGGAAGGCGTTGGTACGGACAAGAAGTTTGCTGTGGAGCAAGTCTGGAAGTTTGGTAAGAAGGTTTTCGACAAAGCAGGGCATAGCTAAGGATGCCACTACTTTGGATCACGGCCATGTTTGTGTAGGAGAGAACAAATTTGTGTAGGCAATAGACACGCGCCCCATGACTGCATATCTAAACATTTAGAAATTGATAGACTGTTGCTAGAGTTACATGATCATGCAAGATACCTGACGTTGATCAATTTATCAATTGAAGCTGTTCATGAAACAAGAGCGCTGACTAGGAAAGATGAGAGTTTCGGAAACTTGAAATCAATGCACGCTCGCTGGTACTTGGCTATGCAAATGCTACCTTGTACGCCGAAACAGAGGGCCAAGAGAGATGGATAACAGAAGCCAGAAAGTACTCGCATGTAGAAAGACCAACTTGACCGCAAGAAATAACACACTGGAGCACTGAGTCGTGGAAACAAAGAGTGGGTGGGTATCTCGAAACGAAGTTGATCGGTGTGCTCGCTGTGTGCAGGAAATGGGGGTTAGTGGAGAGGTGGGCAGACGACGAGACAAGGCAGAGATACAATCAGCAACACCTTCCACTCTTACTCTTTTGTGCCCGGTTGATGTCTTCTTCCCACTCTTGTTGGTGGCCAGCGGCACCGGGCGTAGTGGGAAAGCCTAGCCAGCTTCGCCTCTTATCGGCGGCGCCTAGGCGGAAACTACCGTTAGCAGCGCCGGGATAATCAAAGTATCCCGTCACGTTGCCGTTGTTGTCGAGGGCTGGAGTGACACCGGCCATGGTCAGTTGTCTTTGCTCCTCTTCGAGCTTCTTCTGCTCCTGCTCTACCAACTTGCGAGTGATGACGCGGAAGACTTCGTCCACTCCTTCGCCGTCCTTTGCGCTTATCTCGTGACAGCAGTCCCAGCCGAGATCTTGTCCCCAGAAGCCGCTGGACCTGTTGCTCTGAGGAGAAGCCATGGAGCCACTCTGGAATGTTGCAGGCACGGAGACCCAGCCGTTTGACTGGGCATTGTGCGGTTGTGCGGTCTGTGTGGGGTAGAGGTTCTCTGCAACATAGGCGATGCAGCGTTCAAAGGGGACCTTGCGCTTCGTGGGGTCTGCAGCGATGATGTCGGATTTTGTGCCTACTACGTGGAGGATGGCGTTGTCTCCAAGGTTCGTCTTGAGCTCCTTGAACCAGCGGCCCATTTCGTCAAAAGACTGAGGATCTGTGATGTCATAACACAGGACTGCCGCGTTTGCACCTGTGTGTGATATCAGCTTTAGCCCCTTTGTGGTTGTTTTGTTTTCTTTTTTTTCTTCTCTTTCTCTCTCAAAGGAGGTTCGGTGGACGGGAAGTAGCCGCGTACCTCTGTAGTATAGCTTGGATATGGAGCGGAAGCGTTCCTGGCCTGCCGTGTCCCATATCTGCAGGCGGACGACGGTTGAAGTGTCGATGTCGACAACTCTCTTTGTTAGGAAGGAGGCACCAACGGTCGACTGTGTAGTGGGCGGGGTGAAGGCGTTTTTGACGTAGCGGTGGACGAGCGAGGTTTTGCCCACGCCCTGGCTGCCGAGAACCACGATCTTAGCCTCGAGGCTGTTGGACATGGCGGGCTGGCGAGGAGAGGCGAGAGGCAACGGACGGGGCCCGGGGGGGAGAGTGACGGGGGTGGGGGTGGGGGTGGGTCAGCGGCAGACGGTGGGCCGGGCCAGGAGAGGCGAGTGAGGCTGCGGTGGTTGCGGTAGCAGGGCAAGTGGCATGGCGAGCAAAGCGTGTGCCGTCGTCGTCGACAGAGGCAGAGGCGTGCAGAAGCAGCCTGGGGACATTTTAGGCCGGAGGGCCAGAGACAAATGACATATGGACCACACAGGCCTCCCGCACCGTTTGGCGCTTGCGGCCCTTGTCTTGGCTAACAGCACCATGTGACGGCCGCCGCTGGCCAATATGACGCCGGTGGGCAAACGGGACTGGTGGGCGATGGGAGACATTGGCTGTGTGTGTGATGGCCGCCGGGTGACGCTCACAAAGAGAAGGGGGGAGGGCCCCGTCGCCTGTATTTGTGCTGTTGAGCGCAGTAAGGCAGTATTGGGGCATTAGGCCATGTCAACAGTCGTGCGCGTCATGCCCAGCCCAGCCCGCTGTGTCTTCCCCGCGTTTCGGCGCTGCGGCGAGTGCGAGCGTGCGTCTTACATGGTAGTACGTACTATACAGTAAGTACTTACATACATGCATGGATGCACACGTGCAGTGAACGTGTAGAGAAAAAAAGGGACCGCGCCAGGGTGCTCGCTGCGAACCCGGACTATATGCGGAAACAGATGGACCGAGCTAGCAGGCCTAATACTCGGAGACATGCATTCATACATGTACCGTCCACACATATCCCCGGTATTTGTCTACACCGCCGTTACCATCCGCGGCTTTCCGTCACCATCGTGCATGGACATAGGCTGGCTAATCTCCATATATCTTTCCCCATCTCTGGGGAAGTCTTGACCTACATCCATTGCCCAGTATGAACCGTGATAGCAACAACACCCAGCGCAACAAGCTCACCGGTGAGCAGGTCTCCTCGCACAACAGCAGCGACTCTTGCTGGGTCATTGTCCACGGCCGTGCCTACGATGTCACCGAATTCCTGCCTGAGCACCCCGGCGGCTCCAAGATCATCTTGAAGTATGCCGGCAAAGACGCCACCGAGGCCTACGAGCCCATTCACCCGCCCGACACGCTCGACAAGTACCTCGACAAGTCAAAGCACCTGGGCGAGGTCGACATGGCGACGGTGCAGCAAGAGGCCAAGGAATTCGATCCCTACGAGGAGGAGAGGCAGAAGCGCATTGCGCGTATGCCCATTCTCGAGCAATGCTACAACCTCATGGACTTTGAGGCCGTCGCCCGTAACATCATGAAGAAGTCGGCATGGGCGTACTACTCGAGCGGTGCTGACGACGAGATTGTGAGTCTGCCCGACGCCCTTGCCAGCCCGGATATACACTGACCCAATCCTTACACAGACAATGCGCGAGAACCACAGCGCATTCCACAAGATCTGGTTCCGACCACGCGTCCTCGTCGATGTTGAGAAGGTCGACATCTCCACCACAATGCTCGGCACAAAGTGCGACATACCCTTCTACGTCACCGCCACCGCACTGGGAAAGCTCGGTAACCCAGAAGGAGAGGTCGTCCTAACGCGCGGCGCACACAAGCACAACGTGATTCAGATGATTCCTACATTGGCATCGTGCTCGTTTGATGAGATTGTCGATGCGGCAAAAGACGGTCAATGCCAATGGCTCCAACTCTACGTCAACAAGGACCGCGAAGTCACCAAGCGCATCGTGCAGCATGCCGAGAGGCGAGGCTGCAAAGGTCTCTTCATCACTGTTGATGCTCCACAGCTCGGTCGCCGCGAGAAAGACATGCGAAGCAAGTTTGACGACGTTGGCAGCAATGTCCAGAGCACCGGCGGCGACAATGTGGACCGCAGTCAAGGCGCCGCACGGGCCATCTCGTCCTTCATTGACCCGAGCCTGAGCTGGAAGGACATCCCGTGGTTCAAGAGCATCACCAAGATGCCTATCATTCTCAAGGGTGTGCAATGCGTCGAAGATGTGATCCGAGCCGTCGAGATTGGCGTAGAGGGCGTTGTCCTCTCCAACCATGGTGGTCGTCAGCTCGAGTTCGCCCGCTCTGGTGTAGAGGTTCTCGCTGAAGTCATGCCAGTTCTTCGCGCACGCGGATGGCAAGACCGCATCGAGGTATACATTGATGGTGGTGTGCGACGAGCAACGGACATCATCAAGGCTGTAGCGCTGGGTGCCAAGGGCGTTGGCATTGGTCGGCCTTTCCTTTACGCCATGTCGGCGTATGGTCTGCCAGGAGTTGATCGCGCCATGCAATTGTTGAAGGATGAAATGGAAATGAACATGCGCCTGATTGGGGCTTCAAGCGTTGCCGACTTGAATCCTTCCATGCTTGACACTAGGGGACTGAGCATGCACACGGCACCTGTGCCACAAGACACGCTGGGCTTGAACGTGTACGATCCGCTTGTCGGGCCAAAAGAAAAAGTCGTCAGAGAACAGTCAAAATTGTAGATGGCCATGGGCATGGTTGTATTATACATAAGCGTTTTTTCAGAAGCGCATTCGGGTTTAGATTGTATACATCAGTTGGAATTATCATGCAGAGTACACTTGATGCTTAGGCGAGAGTCCGGCAGGCGAATTACCCTGTTTGGAGCGAATGCAGAGCACGTGAAAACGCGTCCATGTGTGGAGAAGGACGACGGAGGTGGATCCGAAGTGCCGATTGTCGAGCGTCCGTGGGTTTTGGCGTGCTTTTCGAACTTCAATGCGACAGGGATAACACCCACCAACCACCATTCACGTCACCGTTCTACACTACTCCATATCTTCGTATTGTATTTTGGTCCACATCGCGCATTTCTCGCCATTTATTGCTTGTTCTTCTTGACTTTATTCTTATTATGGAAGCTTCCGATACTTCGGTGGGGTCCAGCGTGGGCTGGGACGAAGCGCAGTGTACAGCAGCTCTCGCCCAACTGGAACAGCTGCAGACGCAGGTACACATGGTTTCGCACGTCCTGTTGATTAAAAATTGACATTTTTGCAGATAGATGACCTTCGCCTGGCTATTCCACGGATAATCGAGCCCTTTCATAGGCCCCCGAATGCAACAACGTACAAGTTATACACCCAGGGCGTACTTTCTTCTCAGACTGGCCTCAATGCGCTCAAGGATCGTTGGAACCTTCCTGAGGTACAGAACACATTTGAGCATGCTAAGCAGAGCTTCGGCGCAAACGCCGACTTGTCCGAGGCCGTCTCGGTCCCCTCCCACGGCTGGGTCGAAAGGGAACAGGAAGTAAATAAATCTACAAGCAAGAGCGGGAGCAAAACTGCCGAGGATACCGGTGCCGTGTTTTCGGATAGTGACATATCTCGTATAGTCGTCGTGTTTCGCAAGGCGCATCCAACCCTCAAGGTCGAGACAAACGACGAGGACCACAGCATACATGTAAGGCTATCGCTTCACTTGCATACTTCACTTCGCTCACCTTTATTATAGATTCGTTTCGTTGCCAGCTCTCTTATGCTCAAGTTTCGCGTCACTATCGATCGTGAATCAAACGGTCGTCACAAACTCAATGCAGAGTGCCTGGGGACAACTGAATCCTGTTTAGCAATTACGCGTTGCATCGCCTCACGGCCAAACAAAAACGACTTGAGATATCTACTGGTATGTTTGCATCATCACATGCACATCAAAGACACCATGGGCACACATATTAATCATTTTAGGACATGATTGCTGCATACAAGATTGTTAAAGGGATATCGTGTGACAAATGTTCAAAGATGCTGGATAGTGCCGCCTTGACACCTACCGCCCGACGAAGCAAGCAAGTTGCTACAGCAGATGAAAGCCTGGATACAGTCTGGGTAGCACTCCACGAGAGCTGCCTTGATTGATTTAAGCCTGCACCGGATCGTTTTGAATCTTTACATAGTGAGAGTAAAGTCAAACGAGATGGTGAAATGGAAGCCCGACGCCGAACTCGTTATCCACGTGCCCACCCAAAACCTGCGGCAGGTATTGAGTGTCCTGGAACCAGACTCCATTCACCGTTCGCACGGCTTCTGGGTAATGATTCGACTTCCTGTTTCTGTATGGCTCCTGTTGCCAAATAGCATCTGTCCACGTCGATCGGTTTGGTTCGGCGTGTTTTCGGGTTCGAAAATCATAGCTTAGGCCACACTGTCGTCCGCCGAGCATGCGAGACTTGGTCCAAGGGGCGAACTTTTGCGAGTTGAAGCCACATGACATGCCGGATTCGTCAAGATGTGGATATCCGGCCCACTGAGATCGAGGGGGACGGCTGGATACGCAGTCTGTGGAACGAGCACCAAACCCAATGTATATATCAGGCCCGGTGTTGCGGAGAATATCTTTCATACGGCCCCACGACGACCCATTCTTGCCATCTTTTGGCCATATAAAGGCCTTGGAGGTCTTTACAGGTCGCAGTCTTCGACCGTCCTGGTACCATCCTCGCTGACAGGGGTTGTACCTTGCTGTCTCGTGTCTGAATCCGTCGACTGTCTGCACGAACACGGGCAAGTTGGGTATATGGGAATTGGTCATTTTGTACAGCGGGGAATGAAACTGAAATGAGACTTTCTCTCTGGATGTTGCAATCCACTCACACTCTTGAAGGGTTTACACAGTTGGATGTTTGCCAGCTTACGCTGCAGAAAATGGATGCGATTTATACAGGCGGATTGCTATGAGATGGTCACCAGCTTAGATGTTTGCGCACACTACTACCAGGGACACGGGACTGTTTTATTCTTCCAGTTTACAATCACTCGTGGGTACAAAGTCTGTGATGATTTCTTGGAGAAGCATCTTTCCCTGTCTCTCAGCCCGGAACAAATAAATTTTTAGGCCAAATATGATGAATTTAATGAAATTCACGATTTTTGAGGAAGACAATAACAAGGCGGGGAGGTCTAAAGCCTGATCGCGCATCGGGGTCCTGTCATTTGTATGGTATAGTAGACACGGAATGGTACCCGCGCTCTCACTTTGACGCGGTTCCTGGAGTTGGCAGGGATAAAAAGTGCCCGAGCTTTGCTGGTTCAACAACGCGATCTCGTTGCTCCAAGTTTGTTTTCGGCATCACCAACAACACAGCCCAACGCACTTAACATGTCGCTGTTCGGCAATCTTGGAGCCTCGCAGCCTGCTTCTACTGGTACCTCGGGCGGAGGCTTGTTTGGAACAGCAGGAGGTGCATCAGGCGGCACGACATCAAGCTTGTTTGGCAATCTGGGCGCAGGCACATCCAATGCGCAATCTGGCACAACGCAAGCAACAAGCAGTGGAGGTCTAGGCGGCGGTCTGTTCGGTGCAGCAAAGTCGACTGCTACCACGACACCCTCGCTGTTCGCTGGCGCAGCATCGACAACGCAACCCCAGCAGCAATCGCAACCACAAACGGGCGGCTTCTCGCTGTTCAGCAATACGGCGGCGCAACCGACTACCAACAACACGCAACAAACAGGCGGCCTTGGTCAGACCTCGCTTTTCAATACCACGACCCAGCAGCAGACCCAGCAACCCCAGCAGCCCCAGCAACAGGGCGCGTCGCTCGCCCAGGCAAACGCAGGCTCCGGCCGCTCCGCTCATTTCGATCATCTCCTGGAACGGGGACGTAAGCGCAATGCTGGCGAGAATGGCACCAGCAACTTTGACGAGCTGCCGTCGCTCCAGTTGGGCCTTGGCGACATTGCACGCAAGGTGCGAAACTTGGGTTCTGGAGGCCCTTCGGCGGATCAGGTCCAAGATCGCGCTCAAGACCGCGCTGCGTAAGTTGGGTGTGCAGTCACCAGATGAATTTGTACTGACGCTTTCCAGCCACTATCTACTCTCAGCTTCTGGCGTGAAGATGGGCAGCACCCTCCGAGATCTCAACCAGTTCTCTTCCCAGGCAGGCCTCGCTACACCTGGCCAGGCTCAGAGTCTCTTCGACAACGACGTGGACGGTTACATCTCCAACTTGCATTCGCAGTCCACCTTAGCCCTCATCCAAGAAGGATTAGAGCAGTCCAAGCGTGACTTCGATACCTTCCTGGAGGACAATGTGCAGATCGAATGGGATAAACAGCGGCAGAGGATCTACGAGCACTTTGGTCTGGGCAGACAGAGCGAAGACATGGCAGCCTCGCAGAGCGGCTTTGGCAGCACAGCTAGAGGGGCTTTCGGACGCGCTACAGCACGCAAGGGTCGTTCCATGGGCCCCAATGGGGCATCAGTCAATGGACGATCGACGTTTGGAGCCTCCGCTGCTGGACCACCTGTCCTGGGTGCTTCTCAAAGTGTGCTAGGTGGCCGAGATGTCTCTGATAAATCCGTCATGAGCGGACAAGTTGGACTCCAAGACCGATATGCACGAGACAAACAAGAGAAATTCATGGACGAGGTCAAGAGGCTCAATGAGGCAAGGCTACGCGAAGAATCGTTCTCTGTGCTTCACTCTTTCTCTAGTGTAGAGAAGGCTGCTGGCACCGAGTACTCGGATCATTTCATCAACGCTTACGGAGCACTTGTTTCTATTACTGGTGAGAAGACTGAAGCAGAAGCATCCAACCCAGGCTCAAACCAGCCCAAGGAGCGGAGCTTCGCCAAGGACTATCTGGACGACCAGCCCAACTCTGTCGCGAGCGTACGGATGCGCAAGCGCATACTAGATGGCTCTCGTAAGTATCTAGAAAACAAGTTCCTGGAACAGGTAGATGAGGTTTTGCGAAAGAATCCGTCGGAAGCGCTTGTTGGCGGTGTTCCGTCCATGCTCAACAAGATTCGTGGATTTGTCAGAGCCAAAGCTGCGTTTAAGGAGCTTGGTGCGGATACCGAGTTGTTCCAGAGGATAGGAGAGGCAGGAGATGAATTCCCATGGATCATCATCTTCTTCTTGCTAAGAGGTGGCCTTTTGACGGAAGCTGCCGAGTATGTCCGAGAGAAGAGGAACTTCTTTCAAAACACCGATAGAAACTTTCAATCGGCAATCACACAGTATGCTACGGATCCTGACCGTAGACTGAGCCCGGACACTCAACAAAAGGTGGGCCACACACACGCTCAGAGGACTCGTTTAAAGACACCCGAAGATCCTTACCGCATGGCCTGTTACAAGATTGTAGGCCGATGTGACATGAGCAAGCGCAACCTGGAGCCTATCAAGGAGACCATGGACGACTGGGTGTGGCTACAGTTCAACTTGGCTCGCGAAGGCAACAGAGCCGAAGAAAACGCGGGTGAAATTTTCGGCTTGGAAGAGCTGCGAACGACGATCAAGGATATTGGCCAACGCCACTTTATGAACGACACAGCTGAATCTGCTGGTGGATACGGAGTATACTTCTATCTTGCTACGCTTGCTGGCTTGTTCGAGCCCGCGGTCAACTACCTCTATACGCACAACTATGTGTCTGCGGTTCATTTCGCTATTGCTCTGGACTACTATGGGCTACTACGAGTTTCAGATTGGACAACAGCTGGAGGCGAGATTTTGACCTACACAACACGACAACAGCCGCAGTTGAACTTTGGACGAGTGGTTGGATACTACACCAGTGACTTCCGGGCGGCCCGAGCTGATGCTGCAGCGGACTACTTGGTGTTGATATGCATGAACGCAGACCTACCAGGCGAAGCGGGCAGGCAGCAAGCAGACCTTTGCCACGAGGCACTCCGTGAGCTTGTCCTTGAAACACGCGAGTTTTCCACATTGCTAGGCGATGTCAAATCGAATGGGCAAACAACGCCTGGTCTCATTCAAGAACGTGTGCCATTACTGAAACTCGACGGCGAAACGGGTCTACTCAATACAATCACGAGCGAAGCGGCAAGAATGGCAGATGATAATGGACGCATCAACGATGCCATTTTGCTGTGCCACTTGGCCGGCGAGTATGACAGCGTAGTCACCATTCTCAACCGTGCGCTTGCTGAGGCTCTTTCGGTAGAGCTTGGTCAAGAGCCACTTCGTCTGGAACCACTCAAGCCACGCTTGAATGCAGGCGAGTCGCAACAGCAGCAACAGCAGTCGGACGCGTCGTCGAGCTTGAGCATGCTTGGAACAGACGATCCTGTGGAGCTTGCCCAGAAGGTCCTGGCACTATACAATGCAAACAGTCTGTGGTGGAAGAAGGTTTCGCAGGTGAACCGTGAAGCGGTGGGCATCCTGTTCCAGCTTAACAATGCCAAGAAGGTGATTGAAGCTGGTGACTACATGGCAGCACTTGGGGTAAGTTTGCAGATGACCGGACTAAGATTGGTTCCCACTGACATGTTTGTTAGCAAATCGAGAATCTCCGCATCCTCCCGTTATCTGCTGGAGGCAACGTCAGCGATATTCGGGCCGCCGCCAACAGCTTCAACTCGTATCCCCAGGAGATATCGCGGAACATTGGCAATGTGCTACTATGGTGCATTGGCTGCTGTTCAAGACACCGGGAGCATCTTCTTTCTGGACAGTTTGAAGACCAGATGCGTAAGGTGCTGGCAGACCAGCTGCTGCAAAAGGCCAAGGACCTCATGGTATTTGCTGGGCTGATCAAGTATAAGCTTCCGCCCAGGGTGTTTGAGACGTTGGCGCGAGAGGGTCTGGAAGTTGGCGCTTTTTGATGGAAATGATGTAGCGGTAGTGGGACGTGGTGTTGGGCATAGTGCGAGGCGTATGTCTATGTACATAGGCGTGCTTGTGCATGTAGTATTTGCTTGTTGGACAGGTTTATTTGGACCGGCGTGGGGTGATACCAAACGATCAACGAATCAATCATGGTCGCAACTGAATCCCGCTTGATTTCATCCCGTGTGTCGTGTTGGTCCTGGAGCGGACAAGAGGTGGCGTGACCGGACTGCAGGAAAAGGCAGCGAGTGAGGCGTTCAAGGACAAAGGCGCTGGCAGTGCAAAGTATGGCATTGGTGTCTCTTGGCCTGGGCTGCGGATCGCCGGTGGTGCGGTGGTGCGACCCCACCCTAGCGGACCGGGGAGCTCTTTTCTTGGGGACTCCCACGTCATTGGGCTAGCTGCACCGTCAAATCAGACCATGGCCTGTTCTTCACCGGCTGGCAACACATGCATACATACTCCGTCTCCCTAGCCCTCGTCGCCGGCGTCCCACGCAGCAGCAGCCACCTTAGCGATAGGACGCGCCGGCCATTGCACTGTATTTAGGTTGTGACTTGCGCTTCTCCAGGGCATCTTCGGCAAAGCTACCCCTCCATCTCCCACCATCCCACCTCTGCCCATCAAAGCTTCCTCAACACGCAGGGGCCCGCTTCTTTTGGCGTCCGCAAGTTTTCTGCTAGAGTAGACGCGTGAATCCACCTTGACCTCATACCGACCCACGTCCAAATATCTTTTCTGTCCTGCACTCACTGCCTTTGATAACCTCCCTCTCTCTCACATTCACCCATCACCTACCCCTCTATTCTGCCCACTCCGCCCACTCCGCCCACTCCGCCCACTCCCTCTACCACCACATCACACCACTACCATAATATGGCGCCCACCGACGTCCCGGCGCCCCTCGAGGGCAAGAAGAGGCGCATTGGAGTCATGACTAGCGGAGGAGACGCGCCCGGCATGAACGGTGCAGTACGAGCCGTTGTCCGTACGGCCCTTCACAACAATTGCGAGGCCTACGCCATATATGAAGGCTACGACGGCCTGGTCAAAGGCGGCGACATGATCAAGGAGATGAAGTGGGAAGATGTTCGAGGCTTCCTGTCAGAAGGAGGCACCCTCATCGGCACAGCGAGATGCATGGAGTTTATGCAGCGTGAGGGACGCCGGACAGCCGCAAAGAACCTGATTATCAAGGGAATCGACGCCCTCATCATCTGCGGTGGTGATGGCTCACTCACCGGTGCAGACAAGTTCCGCGCAGAATGGCCAGAACTGCTAGACGAGTTGGTCAAAGATAAGCAGCTCACGCCGGAGCAAATTGAACCCTTTAAACACCTCAACATTGTCGGTCTCGTCGGCTCCATTGACAATGACTTGTCCATGACTGATGCCACCATTGGTTGCTACACATCACTTGGCCGTATCTGCGAAGCCATCGACTCCGTCGACACTACCGCCGTAAGCCACCAGCGGGCGTTCGTCATCGAGGTCATGGGCAGGCATTGCGGATGGCTTGCCCTTAGTGCTGGTGTTGCAACTGGCGCAGACTTTGTCTTCATCCCAGAGAATCCACCAGAAGAAGGCTGGGAACAAGAAATGTGCCGACAGATCAAGAAGCACAGGCAAATGGGAAAGCGAAAGACGATTGTCGTCGTCGCCGAAGGCGCCATCGATCGCAATCTTAACAAAATCACATCAGAGCACGTCAAGAATGTTCTTGCAAACGATGCAAAGCTCGATACTCGTGTGACTACGCTTGGGCATGTCCAACGTGGAGGTACACCATGTGCTTACGACCGTATGCTGTCAACACTCCAAGGTGTTGAAGCAGTAAAGGCAGTTTTGGACGCTAGCCCCGAAGTGCCCAGCCCTGTCATCTGTATGCAAGAGAACAAGATTGTCCGCCGCCCGCTTCTCGAGGCCGTTGCTCAGACCAAGGAAGTTGCTGTAGCTATCGGAAACAAGGACTTCCACAAAGCTATGCAGTTCCGCGACACTGAATTCGAACAGCAATACCAGGCCTACAAGATTACTACAGCAGCCGACCAGCCCGAACTCTTGTTGCCTGAGGAAAAGCGCATGCGCGTTGGTATCATTCACGTTGGAGCTCCAGCCGGAGGAATGAACGCCGCTACCCGTGCTGCCGTAGCGCACTGCCTTGCTCGTGGCCACACCCCAGTCGCACTTCACAATGGTTTCCCTGGTATCATCCGCCATCACTCCGATGTGCCAATCGGCGCGGTCCGAGACATCAAGTGGATCGATGCTGAGACTTGGGCATCCAAGGGAGGATCTGAGATTGGCACAAACCGTGGACTTCCTAGTGAGGATCTAGAAACTGTTTCGTTTGTCTTTAAGAAGTACGACATCCAAGCTTTGTTTGTTGTTGGTGGATTCGAGGCGTTCACGGCAGTTTCTGAACTGCGAAAAGCCCGCGAACACTATAAGGCGTTCAAGATTCCCATGGCAAGTATATTCCAACATGAATTTGGGGTTCATGGCGTATGAAGCATGTACTAACATAAGCTTAGGTTATCCTCCCTGCCACCATCTCAAACAATGTCCCTGGTACCGAGTACTCGATCGGTTCGGATACATGTCTGAATGCCCTCATTCAATATTCTGATGCCTGTCGCCAATCTGCATCCGCAACCCGCCGTCGTGTCTTTGTCATTGAGACACAAGGTGGCGAATCCGGTTACATTGCGACTGTCGCTGGTCTCAGTATTGGAGCGCTGGCAGTGTACACACCAGAAGACGGTATCGACCTCAAGATGCTGGACCGCGATATCGACCACTTGCGCAGTGTATTCGCAAAGGACAAGGGTATCAGCAGATCTGGCAAAGTGATCTTGGTCAACGAGAAGGCATCAAAGACGTACTCTGTACAGATCATCGCACAGATGATTGCCGAAGCTGGCAAAGGCAAGTTTGAATCGCGTCACGGAGTACCTGGCCACTTCCAGCAAGGCACAATTCCCTCTCCAATGGACCGTGTCAGGGCTGTCAGGTTCGCTACCAAGGCCATGCAGCATCTAGAGAGCTTCGCTGGCATGTCACCCGACGACATTGAGGATGATCCCATGTCCATTAGTGTCATTGGTATCAAGGGCAGCAAGTTGCTCTTCTCCCCCATGGAGTCTGTTGAGAAGCGGGAGACTGAGTGGCACCGAAGACGTCCTAAGCATGAGTTCTGGATGGCTCTCAAGGAGACGGTGGATATGCTGTCTGGCAGGCCGCAAGCCCCTGCACAGCCTACAGATATTGATACCCTGGCTGGTCGGCCCGCCAAATAAGTGCGTGGAGATTTCGGCAACCCTTGATCGCTTCTTAGAGTACAAAGGCGTATAGAAAGTCTGAAAGGGCTCTTGAGCGAGATGTCGATGATGATGATGATGCTGTAATGTAGATTCTAAATTATGATAACGACCTATGCATGCTATGATGATTTACTACTATTCGTCCTGAAATGCTTTGAGACTCTCGTCGTTCCAACTGAGAAACTTGCCACTAAGTTCTTTTCCGCCGCTGACAGCCAGTTTGGCGATGACGTTTCCAGGTTGCTCTGGCTTCAAAAGACCCCCACTGCTCTTCAGCCCGCTAAACTTTTCCCTATCCTTTTCGCTCATTCGCTCATGGTGTACTTCACGAATTTCCCGCTGCATTTCCGTGTCCACAACACCCGGTCGAATAGAAATGGTAGTAACATCCGGCTCCTCTACTGAAAGCGTCAAAGCAAGATGATTCAGCACCGCTTTCCCCGCGCCATAGCAACCCCAGCCTTGATAAGCCGACACTGCAGCCCCCGACGAAGTAAGAATGATGCGACCCTTTGTCTTACGCAGAGCCGGAAGCGCCGCTTGAATCTACACACACACGCACATTATCACATTAGCAACTCCCACATTGATCTGAAAAGAAGAAGAAAAAAAAAGACAAGAGAACTAAAAAACATGGGGGGAATCTTCCAACATACCAACCCGATTGCACTAAAAACATTAATATCAAATCCTTTCCTCCACTCGTCCAACCCCGCATCTGCTACTTTCTTGACGGGATCCAACGTCCCATGATTGACAATCACGGCGTCCAGCCTTCCCCAGCGCTCTTGCGCTAGTTCCACGGCGCGCTTGGGAATGGAGGGGTTCGCCATGTCGCCCGCGAGTACCTCGACGTTTTCAGAGCCGTACTGGTAGTGCAGCGCATCGAGGGCCGAGTGCGTGCGTGATATGAGGATTAGTTTGTGGGAGCGCGAGAGGAGGTGGTGTGCGATTGCTTGGCCGATTCCTGAGTCAAGAAGCTTGGTTTTTAGCAAGTTCAACGGTTAATTTTGGACGTTTTTTTTTCCTTAAAAAAAGTTATGATGAGGCGTGGTGGTTTTTTTTTGTGTGTATGGTGCAAGAGCATTGCATGTGCTCTTTTGATATGCCACCTTTTTGGAAAGAGAGAGAGAGAGACGGAAAAAGGGAAATTATTGGGATTGTTGATGGAAAAAGGTAATGGGAGTTAAAGGAGTTTGGCTTACCTCTTGAAGCACCGGTAAGTACGATGACCATTTCCTTTGATTCGCTCATTTTGGGGAGGTGTGTTTCAGGGCTAGTGTGCTTGTCAGGGTGTATGTGGTAGGGTGAGGGGGAAAAGTTGGGTGGGTAGATGGGGATGACGTCATCTTAGTCATCTCATATTGACATTCTTCAAACGATTTCGTAGTCGTAGTTTACTATATAGAAGTTGTGTAGTATTAATGAGAGTGAAATTCATTGCTAGGCCATCTTAATACTGTATTGATAAGGTTTTTGCGAATAGTGGATTGTAGTAAGCAATTAACTATGTTGTTGTACTAAACATATGCTAAAATATTATCAAGTCGGAGCAGGATGTATAATCAATATTAGCGAATCTATTCATGCGCAGCGTTAGACATGTAGGATTGTAGACGCAGAGTTCGTTTCTCGCAATTATATCTAAGAGAGGTCGATGTATGATTGGATCAATACCATTCACACTTTTGCGTTACCACCCCAAGGCCCCTTTGCTTCATGAAATATTCCCTCCTACATACTAGCTTTTCCACGACTCTCAAACGGTAAGACAAGGACTAGCAGCCCAGCGGCAATGAAAAGCGCCCCAGACACATATACCGGTATACTCGTTTCCAGATCCGCAAACATGGCCACAATAGGAGCCATGATTCCAAAAATCCGATTCGCACTCGCAGTGATAGCATTACCCGTGCCCCGATCTTTTGTCGGGAAGATCTCTGGAGTATAAGCGTACAAGACGGCATACATAATGTTACTCATAAAATTGTAGGCGCAGTTCCAGCCGAGGAGGCTATCCGAGGTGAGAGCAGTAGTTGAGCAGAGTAAGAAGACGCCTGTGAGCACTGTGGATGCAGCCAAAGTACCTTTGCGGCCAATCAAGGGTGTCTCAACCAAGACGCCGCCGAGGATACAGCCTGGGACGCCCAGAACAGCGATTATCAGACTATTACGGTAGGTGATGTATGTTGAGCCGTCGCCAAAATCCACGCCTCGAGTTGCTTGGATATAGGGCAGGAAGGCATTGTAAAGAGGATATCCGAGTCCAATAAACGCCCAGACTATGGTGATGATGCTGGTGGAGAAGGCGAGCCTTTTTGTGGCAAAGAGGGCTTTGACATGTGAACTGTCAAGCTTCTGGAGATTTCTTTTGATTACGGCAGCCGCGGTGATGTGTTGCTGAGAACTACCCGACTGTGCGACGAGGTTACAGTCTTCCAAATCCTGAACTGTCAATGGGGATGTTTTGCCGTTGCGGCGGGCGACTTCATGAACAACTTCGACGGCTTTTTCGTCTTCGCCTTTGCCCATGAGGTATTTTGGAGACTCGAAAATGGTAAAGAAGACGAAACGTATGGCGAACATGATCAACGCTGTACCGCCCATGACCTGATTTTTTTGATATTAGTGTATGCTCGTAAAGCATTATAAAGTCTCACTTACGAGCACAAAATACCGCCAACCCATGTTTTCTCCTTTTGTACATGTATCCTCGGTCTGCTGACACGTCAAGTTGCCGAGCAACGGCCATGCCACAAGCGTAGCAAAAACCTGTGCTAGCGACCAGTATATCGAGAGTATCGTAAGCAAGTACTGATGTGATCCGGGTAGAAATTCCAAGAAAATGGCAGAGTCGACAGGGAGATTACCACCCACACCAACAGACCAGAGCGCAGCAAATGTGCCAATAGCAGCAAAATTCGGACTGCCAGCCGCCACCATACCAAAAACCGCAGTGATACCAATGGTGAGGTTGAAAGCCCATCGTCTACCAAAGATGTCGCAGCCGAAACCCCAGAAAACTGCGCCGAACAAGAGACCGATATTTTGGGACAATGTCAGAAAAGGTGGTCGATTAGGTCTGAACTCGTTGCTAACAGGAGTGAAAATGAGCGATGTCACAATAGGCCATAGGTTATCCATTGCCCATCCGAATCCAATGACGATAAAAAGCTGTAGTTGAAATTAACAATTTGAGTGGCAGACGAGCTCATAAACAAGTCGCAAGATATGAATATAAAGATACAGTCAAAAGGAAGTTGTACGCATGCCATGTGAGACTGACCTGCCATTGGTACCGTCCCATACCTATATCCTGGACGGCTTTGTTCAGCACTTTTGCTTTGGCCTCGTATACAGGGTCCAACGATCCATCCTCAAGAACACTGACGGGCGTTGCTTCATTTCTCGTCGTGTGTTGTATTGTAGGGTTCTTAGTATGGTCGTCCGCCCTATATGCACTTTCTGTTGCTGCTGCCTCCGCCATTACCTTGTTTAGTATGGTGAAAGGACGGAAGTTTTCTGTTAACTAATTTCCGATTTCGTGTTTATGATTGACAGAGTCGATCAGGTTTGTAACGAAAGAGGGTAGCGCCAGGGTAAAGTGGGCGCTGGCAATTGCGAACGTCCTGTGCAACCGGACTATTCTAGTGAGACTGCATATAAGGTGATAGACCCTAGTGTTACTCATCACGCAATCGGCCTCTTTGTTTGCGCGATGCAGCCACATAGTCGGATAAGGCGACCTTGCATGTGGGGTAGACGAACCTTAGGTTTACGTCGTATACGAAGGCTAAATCTATGCTTTCAGCTACCTACATACTCGTCATAGAACATTGAGCTATCACTGTAGATCTTATGCAGATTGAGGAGCAAGCGATACGCCGTACATTTTGTGTCTAACTTTTGGCAAGATCTGCATTGCATATAAGGTGATGGTGTGAGGGTTGGGGTTTAGTTGAGTGACCAATGTGCCGATTTAGCTTAGATGACGTAATATCACTCCCGCAGCCATTTGAAGTTAATAGGGTTTAGTCAAAAAGTCATTATTTGTGTATAGAATAAGTCTATGCCATACTGATTGCTGAACGTAGCCTCATAGGCATCGGCGCATCTCAGCATGATTAGAAGGCTCAGCATTGCCGCCTACTTCCATAACTTGCTCAGACTGGTGGCCTTGTCGTCATGCTTGTTCAGCACCTTGGCCGTCGCCAGGTCAAAGTCCTCCTGTGTGACGTGCACTCTCCTCTCCCTGAGGGCATACATACCGGCCTCAGTACACACACCCTTCAACTCAGCACCAGAGCATCCGTTCATCTTTTCCGCAATCTTTGTGAGATTGATTCCACGTGTCAAGTTCATGCTCCTCGAGTGAATTCGCAGAATATCAGCACGCGCTTCGACGGTTGGCGGTGGGAATTCGATCTTTCGGTCAATGCGACCAGGTCGTAACAGGGCGGGGTCGAGGATGTCAAGTCGATTGGTTGCCATGATGATCTTGATGTTCTTAGTCGGCTCAAAACCATCCAACTGGTTCAACAGCTCCAACATAGTTCGCTGCACCTCCGAATCACCGCCAGAGCTTCCCTCAACACGACTTGATCCAATACTGTCGATTTCGTCCATGAAGATGATGCTAGGAGCATGCTCTCGAGCCATGACGAACAACTCTCGGACCATACGACTACCCTCACCAATGTACTTTTGGACCAACTCGCTACCAGATACTCGAATGAATTTGCAGTCGGCGTGATGCGCAACAGCACGCGCAAGCAGCGTCTTTCCAGTTCCAGGGGGGCCGTATAACAAAACACCTTTGGGTTGGGCAATACCGAGTGATTCGAAGAGTTCGGGATGTTGTAGACCGAGCTCGATGACCTCCTTGATTTCCTTGATCTGCTGGTCCAAACCACCAATCATGTCATATGTACTGTCGGGCACCTTTTCGACCATCATGAGCGAGACAAGCGGGTCGACCGAAGACGGGAGCAGCTTTTCGAGTTTGTACGAATCGCTGAGTAAGGTGACGCGTTTGCCAGCGGTGAGCTTGGTGATGTCGACACTGTCGGCAACATCGACGACTAGATGAGTTAGATTTGGAGCTTCATGTAGCATGTTGTGGGTAAATACCGTATTTGCCCTCGGGATGCACCTTGACCAGCACCTTCTTGGTGCCCATGACCTTGACCACTTCGCCGACATAGGACCCCGGTTGCTGAAGCAGGCCCAGCTCTTCGCGCAGTAACCGCACCCTCGAGTTGTAGTCGTTGCGTTGGGCCTCGAGTCGTCGTAGCTTTGCCTGGCCTTGTATGATCTCGAGCTTCATCGCCTCGATCTTGTTGTGGAAGAAGGTGTCGAGCGCCATGGCTGTGGCGGGCGCCGTCGGCGATGTTCCGTTGGCAGGGAGAGGGGCGGTACTGCACAAGTCTCTGGAGGCAGACGGAGAGCCAATAGATGAGCGGATGGCAGCGAGTGAATGTGGATATGCGGTGGGGACGGCGGTGGTGATGGGAATAGCAATGGCACGGCCGTGGGTGATTGTTGGACTGGCTCGGACATTGACACGCCCGTCCCACTGGAAGCTTCCGAAGCTGCGACGCGCGGATTAATGGTTTGGCCGGGCGTGGGCGAGCGCCTGCGCCACATGTTGAGGCGCCATGTTGAGAGAGATGCCCCGCCGCGGCCGGGGCCACTGCTGCCGTTGCCGCGGCACCGCCACAGATGCAGACGGGTGGGGAGCTGGGTAGCAAAAGGCATAGCCAGACGATGCTACAGATACGGCCCCATTAATGTGCCGTCATCACAAGAGCTGGTCGGTTCTTGCGTGCAGCAGAGTGCACCGGCTGCAGCGCGTGAGCCGGTTTAATCGGCAGTGAGACAGGACCCGCAGAAGATGCCATGGTTATCTGGTGTAGTGGTGTGGTGCTGAGTGGGTGAGGCGGCCGCTCGCACATGATGGCTGGTCATCTGCCTGCAGCTTCCGCCCACACCAGACCTCAGCAGATGCGGGCACGGCAAAGACGGACATGCCTCTCGTCCCTTCTTTGATCGCTGGCATTGCACGGCGGCAGGCTAGAGTGACTCGTGCGCATAAACACAAGGCCTGAGCTGGGGCCATTCTAAGTTTCCACTCTGCCCAAAACAAGGCCGGGCTGCAGATAGCCTGCCTGCTCTTTTTCTCTGGGTCTCTACGAGCATCCACCGCACCGCCATGGAGGACCGCACTCCCAACAGCGGCGACGCCAAACCCTCCCCAGAGACATCCCGTCGGAGCAGCACCCAAGGCACTACCACGGCGAGCGACGCGCCCGCCCAAACTGCCATGGCTGGAGAATCCGCGCGCAGGCGATCTCAAGCTGCCATGCAGCCTTCGAGCTACGGTAAGACTCCTAGATAAAGACCAAGAGCAACAACAACACCAATGCCAACATGCTAACGCGGCCACAGGCACCATCTCCGCCGGCAAAGACAGCAAGGACCGCCGTCCGCAAAATCCACCCGTCTCAGAAGGCTCCTCCAAACCCAAGAAGCCCTCAATGACGCGCCGTACAACATCGTCCAAATGGCCGCAGAAGGGGCAAGAATTCAGTGTCGACGATGCCGAGGAGGAGGTTGAGCTCGACCAGGCCCAGCAAGACCAGCAAAAGAAACAACGACAGACATTGCGCCGCAAATCCTCGACTGTCCGACGCAGAACCGCTGCACAGCCGGCGACCCTGACCACGATAGACTCTACCGAAGACGACGAGGCTGAGCAGGACAGCGCAGGGCTAACAACCGGCACGGATGCAGACGCGACGCCCGTCTCCTCGAGCGAAGAGACGGTGCAGGCAGAGGACGAAAGCGGAGGCGCCGACGACGACGAACTAAGTGACGCGGAGAGCTTCACCCTACGCGACCGCCAGGATGCAATCAATGTGACACATCCCTTTGGTATCAGGATCTGGAAGCCCGCCCTCTACAAAAAGGGTCGTTCAGTTCAGCGCAATGCAGAGGCCGACATCCACTCTTCGCCAGGTCTCTACGTCAGCAGGTGGTTGCTCCTGTTCAATCTTATCTGGACGCTAGTCTTTGGCTGGTGGCTGGCGATCGTGGCGAGTGCCGGAGGTCTACTGTGTGCTCTGCTTGGCTTCAACGAAAGCTGCAAAGAGTACTCGCGTCTGCTTTTCCACCTTGCCTCATATCTATTCTACCCCTTTGGCAAATATGTCAAGCTCATGCAGGACGAGGCCTACATCGACGAAGACGAAGGTGAGGGTCGCAGCATTAGCGAATATGAGCAGTGGCAGAGCGGTGATATTGAAGAAGGACGTCTTTTCTTTGGCCCCATCAACGGTGGTGAGAGCTCGCTCGTTGGGCGCAGACGCAACAGTGTCGACTCTGCCGGCAGCGAGACTATGAGTCTACTTGGAAGACACGGTCGTGGTAACGTGAACCATACTGACACAGCAACCACTAAACGGAGACTTTTCGGTCGCGGCAAATGGACCCTTGGTCGAGTCATCTTTTTCCTCTTCTTCTATGGTATCCTGATGCCTTCGCTCTTTTTCGTCTCGACTCTCTGCTGGTTTCTTGTCTTTACGATCCCCATGGGTAAAACCACGCTGCTCTTGTTGGACCACTTGCGCCGTCACCCCCTGGCTCTCTCATTTCACTCGGACAATGGCAACGTGCGCCGTCCTGGAGAGTCATCTTCCATCCTGCTCTGCACCTATCGAGCAGTCGGCATCAAGTACTGGAAGTACACGATTGATGGCACAAACATTTTTCTCATCAATCTCCTCGGCTTGGTCGCTTTTACCATCTTCGACTACTTTGTCTTGGCTGAAGCCATGGAGCTCAAGTTCTGGTTGACGGACCAGTTTCTGCTCTTCACGCTTGCATTACTGTCCATTATTCCACTGGCATACTTCATTGGCCAAGCAGTGGCCTCCATCTCAGCTCAATCATCTATGGGGGTTGGTGCCACCATCAACGCCTTTTTCTCGACCGTTGTCGAGGTTTTCCTCTACTGCGTGGCGCTGAATCAGGGAAAGGCACAACTTGTCGAGGGAAGCATCATTGGCAGTATCTTCGCCGGTATTCTGTTCCTTCCAGGCTTATCCATGTGTTTCGGAGCACTGAAACGCAAGACCCAGCGGTTCAACGTGCGGTCGGCTGGTGTGACATCAACCATGCTTTTGTTTGCCGTCATTGGCGCTTTTGGGCCCACATTGTTCTATCAGATCTACGGCAGCGTAAGGATTGCATTCTTATTTTTTACAAAGGCCCCTACTAACTGATATCAGCATGAACTCAACTGTCACCAGTGTATTAAGCCTCACTCCTCTACTCCCTTGGAGCGAGACTGCCGCAGATGCTACTACTCGCAAACCCCAGCACTTCACGACCGGTTCTACAATGAAGCTGTCAAGCCATATACCTGGTTTTCAGCTGCATTGCTATTTTTCTCGTACATCATCGGTCTATTGTTTACTCTCCGGACTC